GACATGTGTGTGTGTGTGTGTGTGTGTGTGTGTGTGTGTGTGTCTGTGTGTGTCTGTCTGTCATTGCCAACACTGGGTAAAAAGCGACAGGAAATAAGCGCAAAGGTCACAGAATGTGTTTTTGTCTATCAGTAAACAAGAAGCTTGTTTTGTTACACTAAAAATGAATGCAGATGCTTGTCTAATATAACATTCACCATCTTTATTTATATCCCACACATATTGAAAAAACAAAAAGCACCCAGTTGGGTTATTGATGTAAAGTGTCCTGTCCTGAAACATAAGACCTCCTCTATTTCAGGCCTGTCGTCCTAAGTGCTTCTCAGCGCTCGCAGAGGACTGTGAGCGCTTCTCTTACTGAGAGCAGAAAGTAGGATAGAGCCCCTTTAGGAAACACTCACAACAAAAGAATGAGACCTGCTGTAAAACGGGTGAAAAATCTGTCTTGTCATTTCCAAATGTGCCAGTGCAGTTTCTAAATGTGTCAGTGAATGGGAAGAATATACCGTATTTTTTTAACTTTCTATTCTTCAAAGAATCCAAAAATATTAAGCAGCACAGCTGTTTTCAGCATTTATAATAATAGAAATAAATGTTACTTGAGCAGCAAATCATCATATGATTTCTGAAGGATCATGTGACACTGAAGACTGGAGTAATGATGCTGAAAATTCAGCTTTACATCATTGGAATAAATTACATTTTAAAATATATTCAAATAGAAAACAGTTATTTTAAATATTAATAATATTTCACAATATTAACGTTTTCACTGCGTTTTTGATCAAATAAATCCAGCCTTGATGGGCACAAGAGACTAGATATTTCTCATTGTGTGGTAATGGCGACATTGTGTGTTTTTCAGTGTGTATCCATCTATCACTTCCTGTTTTCCTCTGTTACTCTCTCTTTCTGGTTTTCCTTACAAACTATGAAGCTGAACATTTGGCCTAAATGAATGCATCAAACACACACAGCAGCTCATATACCATAACCGACTAATTGCATAATTACTCTCAGCCTTCTGCCTGTTCTTTGAGTATATATGTGCACGTGCGTGAGTGTGTGAGGGAGCAAGAGAACATAATTATGTGTTAATAAGTATACGTGTGTACGTGTGAGAGACGAATTATGTGTTAATAAATGTATTTGTCTGAAAGTAAGTGTTTGTGACGGTGTGAACATTTGTGTGTGCATATGCATGGAAGATTATCAGAACATGAAGTATGCACGTGCATGAACACGACTGTCTGAGTCATGGCCTACATGCATGTCAGTGTGTGGGTTTGCATGTGAGTACAGTTTGTGTATATGTGTAGTTGTACTCACTGTCTAAGCATTGACCGCATTCGGTCTGGGTGGCCCCACACTCCTTGACCACTCCCTCTCCCGGAGGACACTGCAAACAGCACTCCCCGTCATGAGTGTAACTGCCCGACTCACACTCCTCGTCTATGGCCCGCTCCAGCTTAGAGCCAAACACCAGCCCCAGCTACAGAAAGAAAGAAATGACATTATTATTCCATCTCTCTAGGGCTCCACAGGTTCCTAGTCTCCAATTACCTATAAACCCCTGAGATATTTTGATGTTAATACGTTAATTAAAGTGTTTGCAAGGCAATATAGTCATATTGATAATCCTCAAATGCTATTTCCTTCTTATTCTCCACTAATTGCTGCAATTAATTCAGCCTGAACCACCTACAAACTCCATTTAAATGTTGTTCTGCAGATAATTTCATTTATTTATTTGTTTTAGGAGTAGACTTGGTTATGGTTACTGTGAACTTAACTGTTAAAAAGAAATGTATAAAGTTTGAAAATCTACCATTGACTTTAATATTAAACATTACACGTTGCATACTGAATTGTGACAGCTGACAAAAGACAAGACATGCTAAGAATCATGACATCCATCACTCTGAAAACCTAAAACTTTAACTTTTCTAGTGGTATTTCTAATTTATAGTAAACCTACTCTGTTTTCTTTTTCCAGTACAACATTTTTAAATTAAGATGCATTTGCTCGCGAAGCAAAATGACTTTAAGATATTAAGTCTTGTTTTCTGAAATGTTTATGCTTTAAGCAAGTAACTTTATTTTACTGTCCTGTTCCACATGAACATACCTTGTATTTATTATAGTAATTACAATAACTGGGTTAAAGGTACTAACTTTAAACCATGTAGTTACTTCAAATTGCCCAGTACTTTCTTAGGTAACACTGTAAGTACAAATAAGTGCACATATTTTAAAATAAGTTACAGCCAAAATATCTGCCGGTGGGGTTAGAAAAAGAAACTTAATTCAAGGGAAAGCTAGTTCATTTTTCTTAACACACTGGCAGATATTTTGTCTTGTTGAATGCAAAAACCTACTTTTTCAATTTAAAAACATATCGTTTTTACATTTTTTTCAGCATACAAGACTTAATAGCTTGCGGAATTTTACTTAAGTAAATGTATCTTGATTTACGAATGTTTAGATATTTGGGTTACACTTAAGGTGTCCTTGTTACAGTGTAATATACATATAAGTACTGAGTTATATTAAGTAACTACATGTACTTACTGTATGGTTAGGGTTAGGATTAGGTTTTGGCTTAGGGTTACATGCATGTAATTATGCATCATTTATTGTTATTATAATAGTAAGTACATGTAACATGTGTAACAAGGACTCCTTAAAATAAAGTGTTACCGATATTTGTACTGGAATTGTTTTTTTGTTTTTTTTTGTGCAGTGTAATTTTTCCAATTAATCCCCTCACTGTCCATTAACTCCTTCATGTTTGCTGCATATGGGACTACAGTTTGGTAACAGCTGCATCACAGCATATTGTGCTGACTGCATTTCACTTGTGTGTCCAAAAGCTGGGGCGTGTTGAGCAAGATGAGACAGGCTGTTGGAGTTATACATATGTCTACTGCATGTCCAGCTGTTTCTCTCGTATTGTCGTGGGTACGATTACACATACTTTACACATCGAGGTCTCACAGATCAGAGTCCGCAGACCCTCTTTACCCAAGACATCTATTAGCCCTACCCTTCCACTGTGTGCTTCCTCTTTCACAGGTCCTGATCTGTTTGTTGAGTATTGTCAATAACCCAAGGGGTCATAAACATCTGTACACGCAGGCACTGTAAGAGGTGTTTATGGGCTCATTTTGTCTCAGACGACAGATGTGTGTGTGCGGTGTGTTTAAGAGAACTTGGAGGCTCATTAGTGAGGACGCAGACTTCACTTTGATTTAATTTACTACTGCGGTGCTTCACTCTTCCTCTCTCTATAGGTTCACTCAGTGCTGATATGTGATGTGTTTTATGTGTATAGAGCTCAGCGGTGACCACCCACACAAAAGTATTTTTCCCATTCATTTTCTGCATAGGAATTCTTCAATTTCTTCATTAAAATGTCCTATGACATGAACCAAAGCAATCAGATCAGCTATCACATGACAAACTTTTATTTGAACAAAAAAAAGTGTGAAATTTTCTTTTGATTAACTTTTTTTTTGCTTGAACTACTCATGAACTACTCATTCAGTTACGTGTTGTGAATTATGTACAATGCAGTAGTTCTGCTACAAAAAATTACAGCAAGTGTGCATTTGTAATAAATGTACACATAACTAATAATACATAATACAAAATTATTCAATATTTTAATTGAATAGTTCTTAAGCAATATATGCTGCTTTATATTTATATTTATATATATATATATATATATATATATATATATATATATATATATATATATGGTTTGATTTGAAAGGTTTATGCAATATCATTAAAATCTATTTCTCTGTGGTGTAAATGAATGGCATTTTTACTTCTAGAGCCCTACTGTTGTGCCTTGTAGAAGCATTTCTCTTTAATATAGCTGTAAAAAAAGAAGCACAGATTCATTCATTAACCTGTGGATTCCAGAGCGTTTCAAAGACACACTCACAAACAAGCATGTGCGTGCGCGCACACACACACACACACACACATACACATATAAAGGGGAATTAAACTCACAGCACATTTTTCTCCTTGCATTCATTAATCAATTAGCATACTCTCTCTCTTTCTCACTCACTCACGCACACACACACAAACATCCTTTAATAGAAACCATAGCACATTACAAGTTGTTACAATTACATTCAATTCAGACAGGTCGTCACCATAGACTCCCCACAGTCAAAATAAAAAGGGAAACCCTCTCTGATCTCCTGCACATTTTCACCACTTGTTTCTAATCTTATCTACCTTCCTAGCCTCTTTCTCTCATACACTCTCTTTGCCCTTTAAGACTCCTCTTTCTGCCCTCCTCCTCCTCCCCCCCTCATCCACATCCTCTCTCGTTCTCATTCAGAAACAGATGCACCAGTACAGCAGCCAACTCACCCCCTCATTTACTCTCTCTCTCTCTCTCTTCGTCAAACCCTGGCTGTCTTCCTTTCTTTTTTCTCTCAATTTGCATTCGCTTGAGTAAGCGTGCCGATGAGTTAACTTGGCAGGCTATAATGGACTCCCCAGTATGGAGCATGCCCAATGCTTAAGACATCTGAGCAAAGACTATGTGTGTACAAGTGTACGAGTGTCTGTATTTTGGGAACTAAATAAAATCTGCCAAAATCTTCCTCTGGTCAAATCCAGGAATGTTCTCAATTGGAAACTCAACTAATGGGTTATTTGAAGTATATGGTATGTCCTCATTTACATACTGTATGTAGGCTCTATCATTACAGTGATCTGCACCTGTCCGTACAGCACTGCTATGCACCGGCCAGGAAATGCTACTGAGCTTTAATACCATGAAACATCAAGGCTCAAGATGCTATCACTTCTTTCACCACCAATTAGGCCGTTTCTGTCCCTGCCAGATCTCTTGTAAAGTGCACCAGGAGCATAGAGCCTTCACACAGCTGTAAGACAGAGCGCTGCTGGCTCATGTGTCAGCGGAGATTCTTCACCGACTCTGTGCACCTGGATCAAACTCAATTGCCGGCTCCGTTTGCCATTTTGCAAATCAGATCACTGAAAAGAGGTCACGGTGTAATTTTGTTTAGTCAAGAGCGTGTGCCTGCTTAAATTGATTTGGTCCGTGTTACACGAGACTGGAGGTGGTGAGGGTCACATGGGGCGCTCTGTAGGGGACCATCGGGGTCACATGCTTACGCACTTTGAGTTTTTCACCCTGAGCATCAGACGTATCCCTTACAAAAATGTACCATGATAAGTTCACGCCAAAAATACCACAGTATACAGTTGTATTTGGCACCACTGTCATTGTCAAAAAAGATTTTAAAAAAAAACTTCTTGGGTTGAGATATTTTTTATGATTTTCATTATTAACAATAATTACTTAATGGACACATTCACTCTTAAAAATAAAGGTGCTTAAAAGGTTCTTCACATCAGCGATGCCATAGAAGAACCATTTTTGGTTCCACAAAGATCCATTCAGTCAAAGGTTCTTTAAAGGGTTAGTTCACCCAAAAATGAAAATTAGGCTGTGTTTTACTCACCCACGAGGCATCCTAGGTGTATATGACTTTCTTCTTTCAGACGAATCCAGTCGGAGTTATATTAAAAATTGTCCTGGCTATTCCAAGCTCTATCATTAGGTGCATGCGCAACGCTGACAATCTTACGTCATCCTCCCGGAGCTGCTTCCGTGTACAGCTGTTGGCGCAAGCTACATTAAAGTGATTATTACGTTTTGAATATGGATATTTTTCTTACAAAAACGCATCGATTCACAGGAGGCCTTTGTTCACCCCCCGGAGTGTGAGACACTTTTTTTAATTATCTCTTTCTTATCTTTTTATAATCTGAAGAACCTTCTTTCGCCACAAAGAACCTTTTGTGAAACAGAAAGGTTCTTCAGATGTTAAAGGTTCTTTATGGAACCATTTAGACAAAAAAGGTTCTTCTATGGCATCGTGAAGCACCTTTATTTTTAAGAGTGTTGGTAATTCTTATTTTAAGGGTTTGTGATCAATTCTGCACATTCTTGCACATAGTCCTGTCTGATCTAAATACCTACGCAAGGTACGAATTATGGGTGTTTCTTTGGCAGGATCTTATCAAATTAAAATTGGTAGACTACTTTTAATTATATATAGCCTACGGTTCAACTGTAAGCATTTAAGTATTCACAAAAGTTACTGAGGGCATGTATTTTAACCTGGCTCTAACGAAATCGTTTGCCCGAGGACGTAACCATGGCAACAGTAGCAATTTCCGATCGTTATCATACCGAACATTTACAAAACATATTAATGTCATTGCATATTATTATAATTATAGCTTTAAATATCGCAAATATATCACACACAAAAAAAAAAACTTTAGTGTTTCCAAAACTCTTTGAGGCGTTTGACTAAATTTCGAGTTGTGGAAGGTGCATTTCAACAGATCGCGCCACGAAAAGTACCTGCAAGGTATTTCTTTAAAAATGTTGATTCCCCTGAAAGTCATTAGAACAGGGACACCGTAAACACACACATAGCCTAGTAAAACTCCATAATATAGGCTACTAAAAATGCACCAAACATTAAACGAACTAAGCCGGTCTAATAATTCGACAAACTCATATACCGAGGCAACTTGTCATGAAAGTTTGGCTCCAGTTGTGCGCTGCACATTGCTGTGCATTGACTGGAGCCTATTTTCTGGAACATAATAAACAAATTGAACGTGTAGATTCATTTAAAAAGACTAAGAGAGTACAGGAGGCTGACACCTGTTCTCCAGAAAGCGGGCAGCTGAGATTAGTCATCACTTCCACAGACCGAGCACAAGATTCCGCAGGCGCTCCTCAGATCCGCATCACCGGAGCATCCCCGAGCCTTGAGCACCTGATCTCAGTTAACCTGCATGATCACCGAAACCCAGCGCTCATGCGCTCCCATCTAAACTAACGCGAACACTTACCGCTCCACAAATCAAGATCCACACCAAGGTGTCCATGTCTGATATGTCCCTTCCCTCTCAAACTGTAAATCTGTGAGTGTGAGTCGTGAAGTGAAGACCAGCTCTCCGACCGTTCAAATTAGCTCCATGTGGGTGCTGCTCTCGAATACATCTCTGTACACTGACTCCGTTCCACACGCTCTGTATTTAAATTGTTGAATAAAAAAAATTTGTTCATTGTTTGAAATAGAAAATCAAGTGTATTTGCAAACCAAGCCTTTTAAAAATGGAATGTAAAAAAATGAATAAATGAGATAATTTGAGTGAATGAGTGTAATGGGTGTGACATCACGGGACTGGTGTACTCAAACAGACGCCACAGGAGGGCGACTGCAGCCAGTGAGTCACCGATGTGACATATGAGGCGTGATAAGGCCATATAGACGGTTAAGTGCCAGGGATGAGAGGTTTTTACGATTTTTTCCCTTTCACCTCCCTTCTTCCGATGTTTTTTCCACCTGTTCGGTGTTTATGAAACGCACGTAAATGCACATGAATACATGTGTTGTAAATATGGATCTGAAATTTCCGTGTGTGAGTGTTTTTATAGAAGCAGGTTGTGCACTGCAAAAATCATTTTCTTAATTATCTTATTTTTTATGGAGAAGTAAAATTGTGCTATAACAAGACTTCTTTAATTCTTGTTTTTTAGTACATTTTCTTACCATATTGGCATTTTTTTCTTCTTTTAACTCTGTAAAGCCTGCTGTATCATATTTGATACACAAATATTTGAGGCCTCTTAATTATAAATGTGGTCAAAACTTTACTGTAAAACACTTTACTGTACACAATCTTCTACATGCCTTCTGTCATCTGATTGATACTTAATACTTTTTTAGCAAGTAAAAGCCCTTTCAGTATAATTCTAAAAATGTCCACCTTCAGGTTTTAGCACACGTCTTTTTGCTCTGAAATCTTGAATGATTTTTATAAAGTAAACATGAGTTTAGTATCCTATATCATAGCTAAATGAGCAATGTTAGCTTTATGTATTAAATATAATACTCAAAAAAAAGTTGTAATAAATTATGCAGTTTTGCTCCTTAAGTTAATTGATTTTGTGATTTTTCTTCTTGTCTAGAAAATGAATTTAAATTTGTGCATGAACTGTTTTAATCCCAAATCAGTATAGCTGTTCCTGCCCCCCCCCCCTTACTTTCTTTAAGACCCATGTCATTCTGGTCTATGAAAATATCTATGTGCATAAATAATGTTAGTCTGTGATTTTTTTCCCCTCTATGACAGAAAGTGCTGAGAGTGAGGAGCGATGATCCTTTGTGCTGATATAAGCTTTAAAGGTAACCTAGACCTGTAACATCAGCTTACCAATCCATTAAAGCCGAGCAAGACCTTTCTTAAAGTGGTCTTCCAATAGTCAGATCTTCAGAAACTGCTGACTGGCATCAACTCACATCTTAAGATCAAATGACACTACGATGGGGCTTCGGAAACTGACCATCTATTTTACACTTGTTAAAGAGGATTCCAAATATCTGTTTTATCAGTGATGGGAAAACTGCTTTTTATCTGTCAGAGCAATGTTTATCTGGCACAAAAACAATGAGGAACTCAATTAGGGTGACATCATTCATAAACATTTGAACAGATTAATTTATACTACCTCTAGATAACATCAAAATTTAAATAAATAATGAAACAGTGATGAACAGTGAAATGGTAGTTTGCATTCATTTAGACAGCCTGGTGCTTCATTACATGAATTGAAATATTATTGAGCTGATAATGAATTCAAAAGCATTCTAATTGCATGTTTTATCTTAAAGTTAGTACAATTACTTTTGGTGGTTACTCAAGTCAGTTACAACCAGTGAGGTGATTCAAATTATAAATGCATGTGACAATGAGTCTTTAGCTAAACAATTTGGATTCCAGTCTAACATCACCATCACTTTTACAATCTGGAGAGTAGGTGTTTTGAAGTCTAAAGTGTAAGTTACAATAGATCTGGTATCACTGGAACCATGTAGCCAGTCGGAAGCAGTTCTTCATCGATCTGTTAATTTATCAATAAATCCACATCCTACGTTGTCAAAGACGACCACCACTACCCCTTTTACCCACACACACACACACACACACACACACACACACTTGAATTAACTCACTCTCTGAAATTAAGACATCGCAGAAAGAGCTTCAAGATCGATGGATAACAAGCGAGCAGTCAGGAAAGACAACAAGATCAGCCTCTTTTTTCTGCCAGTGCAATTAATTCAGTCTGGATAATGAATCCAGTCAGGATAAAATTAAATCTGTCAAGATATATTGATGTTCCTTAGCGTTAAAGACATAAATTAACAATGTAATACTCATAATGCACAGTTTGTATTTGAACAGTTTTTGTATTGATTAGAATTGTCTTGATATCATCTGGCTCTTTTATCTATTCTGTTTTAATAATAACACACAGGCTAAATGGGTCTGGTATTACGTCTTATTGCAATCAGAATAGACAGTATGTGTTTTATAGTTTTATCCTGCTTTATATTTAATGGTGTAGCTATTACCATTGCTGTCTTGTCTCTTCAAAGCCCTCTCTCCCCTGAGAAAGGACAAGTATGTCCAGATGGAGACCTATTACTCTCATTACGGCAGATTACATGCACCGCATGCCTAAACTGAAAATAGTACACGGGCGTTACATTTGATCTCTGTTAGTAAATATAGATAAACAGCTATACACCTATATGCTATATAAGTATGAATATACGAGTCAGCCATCTATCACGGCTCCAGTGTCAACTGACCTGCTTTATCATGAGTCAGCAAAAAAAGCAACATCCACGACCCATTTTGCCAACATATGTGTTCAATCTAGTATGAAAAAAGCAGGATTCTTTAGTCCACTATTTGATCTGCAACCATAGTGTTCATGCATTTCTTTAATATCATCACAGTCCATTGTCATTGAGTTAATTGACAGCAGAAGCAATAAAACAGAAGATTTTAATTGGCATTGTGGAAGGGAACTCTTGAGAAACTTGAGGGAGTGTTAGCAGATTGGCAATTACTTGATGGACTGTCTTGCAAATATAAGAAGACGTTTTTCATTGTTGCTACGCAAATATTGATTTTGTAAATGCTTGCACGCAGGCCCTTTCAGGCCGACGGTCTGTTATCATGACAGATATGGATCATGCATGCACAAACCTATTTTAAAAAGTTGTGAATATGGGAGCATTGCCAGTGTTATCGTGAATGCATGCAGCTCACGCACACTTCTGGGTTGCAAACTTGTGGCGTCATCTGAATGTGCGTTCTTGTTTATCATCAGTTCATAAAATGCAGTTTGTGGGTCCCGCAGGTTGAGCATAATGAATCTGCTGGGTGTTCGCTATAGTGCTGCTATATTTGGACTGGGGAAAGAGCAGGTTATATTAAACAATCAGCTGACACTGTCTATAAGCAACATTAAGACTGTTATTGCCGTATGTACAACAGAATCTCTTAATGTTTAACACTCCCAGCACACACAGTACAAAGAGCTGAAGATGAATACTCTCCAGACAAAAATGCTTCCAACGTTCCCACTGCTGCCTGTTACAAATAATCCACACTACAGATGTGGAGTTTTCCCACATGGAAAGCTATGCCTCTTTGATTCCATCCATATGACAGACAGATCTAAAGCATGCCGACTCCATGATGCCTTTCGCTTTGCCAGTTATTGCAAACCTGCAACAAAAATGGGTCACCAGCAGCGAAATATGGTGGTCATGTCCCATCCTGTGTTGTGGCTCAGTGCCAAAGTGATGAGTGAGTGCATTTACAGACAGTGAAAAAAAATCTCTGGAGCTTTTGGTTGCTCATAGACGTTCATGCTCCACTGCACTATTCAACTGTTTTAGAGGGTCAATCATGGTCTCCTTTCCTATTGGTAGTTGCCACCTACATCAATGCTCATTTGCATGAAGTTCGGTTAGGCTTACTTCTATTTTAAAAAAAACTTACATTTATAAGACTAAACTTTGTCTTTTATTGCCTTGACATATGGAAGTGATGAACAATTTAACATCTGTCTTTTGACCAATGAAATCAATCTTTCGATATTTTTCCCCCTTTTTTATATATATGATTAGATATTTATCTATCATGACTTCTGTATCTGAGAACCCTTGAAATGCAAAAAAGGTCCATTAATCTTTCTTCAACAAGCAGCACAATGTGAAGGATCATATTTGAATATGCAAAAACACTCTTTAGCTCGATTATATCTGTGCATGTAAATATGTGACTCTGGACCACAAAACCAGTCATAAGGGTCAATTTTTTGAAATTGAGTTTTATACATCATCTGAAAGCTGAATGAATAAGCTTTCCATTGATGTATGGTTTGTTAGGATAGGACAATATTTGGCCGAGATACATCTATTTGAAAATCTGGAATCTGAGGGTGCAAAAAAATCTAAATATTGAGAAAATCGCCTTTAAAGTTGTCCAAATGAAGTTCTTAGAAATGCATATTACTAATCAAAAATTTAATTTTGATATATTTACAGTAGGAAATGTATAAAATATCTTCATGGAACATGATCTTTACTTAACATCCTAATGATTTTTGGCATAAAAGAAAAATCAATCATTTTGACCCATACACTGTATTTTTGGCTATTGTTACAAATATACCTGTGCTACTTATGACTGGTTTTGTGATCCAGGGTCACATATACTCACATATGTGAGCAAGAGGAGTGTTGCTTTTAGTTGAGAGAAAGAAAAATGTGCATGCAAGCGTTTATATCCACCACATGAGAGAGAACATCACCTGTGATTGGTTACTGAAAAGGAATTAAACTTGATGAATATTCCTTCTTTCACAAACTACTTGTGTGTGTTTCTGAGTGGAGTCCAGCCAAGCTGTAGGAGAGTGGGAGAGCATCTTAAAAGCACATACATTACCATCTCTTTCATCCTAACTGTTTATCATGCTGTCATTTTCTAGGCCCCCTTATACCTTATCTGAAAAACAGAAGGATAGAAGGAAAAGCAGAGAGGAGGAATTTGGTAAGTGATGAACCCATCAAAGTCTCATCGTTGCTTTTTCTGTGCTTCTATGTCTTTATAACTTTCCCCTC